AGGGGAAGAGAGAAAGACAGAGACAGGAAGGAAGAGGGTGAAAGAGGTGGAATGGTTCGGAGGTATCGAACCGTAAAGTAAAAGGGTGTACATACGACGGAGGGGGGCGGGGATCTAGCCGAATTTCGCGAATGTCGATATGGCCCGAGCACGGCGGTATGATTCTACACGACCTCGCGGCGTACGTACGCGTGTCTCTCGGAGGAGTACTGTGTTACACACAGCACGAAAGCATCGTTTCTCTCTCTTTTCCGCCGTGCTCTCGGCCTGTTTCTGTTCGCTCCTGCGGGCAAACGGTGCTCGGTGCATTCGTGTCGACACGCTCTTTTCGCGCAAAATACAGCGATAAAATGCCGCGACGCGCGCGACCGCGTTCTCGGTTACCCGACCGATAAATAAACGTCCCCCCCGACGCTTGTCACACCGCGGACGACGAACTAAGTTCGCAATCTCGGAGAAAGGGGGAATTAAATCGCCCTGGGACTCCTCTCTCGCTCTCTTTCTCTCTCTCTCTTTTTCTCGCTCTCTCTCTCCCTCCCTCCCTCCGAGGTAAGAAAACTTTTCAGACTTCTTTCCGGCGGCGCGACAGCTCGTTTCACCGCGCGCGTCGGTTCTTCCGCATTTACGGACGGATCTGGGATATAACTGAACCCTCGAAAACATATATATACACGTAGAGTATTAAGAAAAAGGGTTTGAGGCTTATAGAATAGATGATGCTCACTGAGCTGAATAAAAAATACTTAATGAGTCGAAAAATCGACCCTTTCAAAGTTAAAGACGATTTCCGATATTAATGGTGTAAACACGGAAAGAGAAAGATATGGTGTACATAACTAGAAATATTTAGTTATGAGTGATACGTAACCAGAAATATTTACGTACAAGTAAACCTACTCAAAAGATACACTCCGCATTTTTGTTGCACTTGATGATTGGAGTGAAAACATTAAAAAGCTATAAACTGTCTGTGAAACTCAAAGTAGGCCAAAATGAAAGAATATGACCTAAATATTTTTTGTACTTGAACATTTGTGCCAAATTAGAAGGAAATACGAGTGTAACTTTTGGATAGGTTTACTTGTTAGTTGCATTATCCTAATTATCTTTGTGTCATAATAATCACACAGAGATGACTAGAATATTATTCAATTTAATCACATATGGACAAAGAATCTAATCAAGTGAGTTATGAACTATTAGAAATAAATTTATCTGAACTATTAAAAATAATTTTATCTGAAGACTTCAAATTTTTATCTCTCTCTCTCTCTCTCTTACTCCTCTTCTCCATATTGACTTTTAAATTTTATTTCTTAAGCGAAGTTTGTGTGATATGTATGCTTGATGTGACTCAGCTACTTTGGTACACCGACTACATCGGTATATTTGCGCATGATCTGATTGTGGCAACCAGAAATCGGTTGAGATGATATTTACCATGGATACACTCTGGTTGTAATTGTCCTGTGGTTACAGTGACTACATAATATTACTTATTTCATATTCACTATTGAGTCTGTTTGCTTCTGTGCATGATTTGCTTGCTTATATCATCGCATGTGGCGTGAAAACAGATTGTCTCATAACTGTGTAACTCTAAAATGCATAAAAATGCCTAAAAAATAAAATTGAATATATGATATAGTTAAATAATTTGAAAATCGGCATAGCTGAGACATGGACCATTCTTATAGCCGAGATTCCAACAAAAATATTTAAAATCTGTGCTAAATTAATCAAAAATGGCTCGAATCTTGACCAAACCGAGAGAAATTCGGCAATTTTTATTACAATTTTAACAAAACTCAACAAACTCTCTAAATAAACGTGCAATCGTAAGTCACAAAGACTAATGTTACGAATTGAAGTAACATAATGAAATAATTTCTTGTTGCGAATTGAATAAGAAATTGTAGAAATGGAAAAGGGATATGAACACCTTTTTGTAAACATAATAATAAAAATATAAAATAGTCTTCACAGCGCATATAATAATGTTAAATAAGTAAATTATGTACATCATGAAAATCGAAAATCGCTTTTAAAGGGATGCTAAAGTCGATGACGAACTTGAACAATGTCGATAACGCAGAGATAATGCTAACGCTAACAATCACACTATCTTTTTCGTATTTTTTGTATACAGAACTTATGTAAATGTGTGTTGCTTTGTTTTATCATATTCAACGGAAAATATAATCACACATATGTAGAAATCTTTCTATAAACTTTTTTGATATTCTTAAGCTTCTCAATTTAGATGCGAAAAGGTACAGCAATGTTCTTCAAAGTTTTTCTGTTTGGAGCATTCACACTTTCGGTATATACAAGCTCTTGGAAGCTTTTGGATTAAGCAAACATTATGCGAACTGACAGCTTGAGATTTTAAATTAAAATTTTGTTTTCATTCTCGTCATATATTGAACAATGCTACTATTTACTTTTGCATGTACTTTCATTGCGTAAAAACACTTGTAACTCTGCACAACCAATAGGACGTAAACTTTGCAGAAAAATGTCAGTATTCTGTGGATAAAGTTTTCAGCTTTAGCATCTCCTTAACTCTAAAAGGATCGATTTTTCGACTCACATTTACTAAATATTTCTTCCTCAGTTTAGCGAACATTATCTATTCTATGAGTTTGGAATTATTTTTTTTAAGTTCTTTTATATAATATTTTAAAAGATGTGTGCGTATATATATAAACAAAAAGTATATAGGATCATTGGGCCTGCAGTACTCTGAGAAAAGATATTTGAAAATTTGCTTGTTTCCGCGAAATAGACTTTATATCCCACAAATAAATTTTTAAGTTTTCTCAGCGTAGGCTCCACCGAAATCGCGAGTTTACGGATTTGAGTGCAGCTCGTTCCGCACGACGATTTGATACGCGTCGACACGACGCGAGGAATCGTAGAACGCGCGCCGAAGATAACGGGTTGCGACGTAGATACAAAATTGTACGCGACCGGCGTGTACTGCCGCATCCGAGAAATCGAATTTATCTGCAAAAGCGATATCCCGAGGTACGCTGTGTCGGCCGGTATTCGCCGAACGCGCGAATGACGTTGCGAAATTTAAACCGAGCACCGATACTCGAGGAGAATTGACAACGATCAAGGGAAGAAGGGAGCGGGATCGAGGGGCTCCCGAAGAGCAGGCGCACTTACTTTCAGTTGTATGATGGTCTGCGTCGAGATATTATGCCCTTGCTCCTGAAGTCCCTAGAAGTAGGTCAACACTACGGGTAAAAAATCAAATCGCTACAAGACAAAAACAGGGGAACGTAGGGGGCGGGGTTGCGGCTTTACAATCGGGGGCGGGAAGCGTGGCGGTGTCTATATGGACTATATTTCGGGGTTTCTCGTATCTCACTGCTCTTCCGAGAATCCAAGGCATGCCCAGAGATATACCTAAATACTGTAACTTAAAGTAAACACCATTACCAACCAAAAACCAAAGTGAAAAAGCGCGTCTTCGACGACCATTCGTGTCCAGTGACACCTTCTTCTTATAGATCGATACGTAGAACGCGAGTACTATACGATGCGTGTCAATGTGGTCTCGATCGTCACAACCTAAGAACGATTCAATGAAATACTTTCTTTATGCAAGGACTTCACGCTGATTAAATAAGATGATATGTTTAATAGTCAGTCTATAGTCTGGCAGTTTTTAGCACTCTTGAGGAAATTTTGTTAAATATCAAGAGGTATATACGTGTGAGATTTATTATTTTATTAATAATTAATTAATAATTAACCCTCTCCGCGTATAACGCTGTTAATTTCATTAAAATTATATGATATAATGTAATTATATGATATACGATATATGATATAATATAATTTCAATAAAATTATATCATTTTTGGCGTCAATAATATTTTCTTATAAATTCTAATAAAAAATGGTACTAATTATATGCATATAAGAATATTATCACTGACACTCTATGGTGTAACATTTACTAAGAAAATTATTTCGACTATATTCCTTTCATTATGTGAATATAGTTGTGAATACCAAACACTTTTTTCCTAGTTCAGATTGTATTATATGTCCTAAAAAATATATTTATACGCGAAGGGTTAATTATTTTATCTATTATTTATTTGTTGAATTTCTATATACTTTAATATTTGATAAAATCTGCGCAAGAAGGTCGAAAACAGGCAGAATGCCGGCTACTGACCGTCAATCATGCTTCTTCCTTAACATGGACTTGTGAAAAGCGAAAAGTTCCACTGAATTTATCAATAAAACTTTGTACTTTTCGCAACTCCACGCAGAGAAAAAGATTCATGATTGATACCCTGGACGTTTTATACCCTAGTTATAAGAAATACGCTTCGATTTATTAGATACACCGTCAAACATTTTACACGCGCAATCACACATTTTAAACATTCCACACGCGAAGTGATTACTTGTCAAAATCCGAAATGACCCAGAGTCGCGTCGAGACCACGTTGGACCGGCGTCAAGAGCCTTCGAAGCCACGCTGAATCAACATCATCAACGGGGATTCGACGGCCGAGTGCCGAGGAGAAGAAGAACAAGAAGAAGAAGAAGGTGCCGATTCGACGATCGGGCGTCGACGTCGCGCTTCGACCGTATAAACCAACGAGAGAACGTTACACCGAAAGCACCTCACGAGGCAACGACTAGCTAGAGAACGGGGGACGAGGATCCGGCCTGTCGCAACGGGATGTATGCGACGACGCGCGGATTCCCGCACGCGGGCACAGAACTGACAGACAGGTGGTAACAGGGGAGGCGGACAGTGGAGGACAAGGGTGAAAAGAAGAAGAGAAGAAGCGACGACGATGGTGTCGGTGGTGATGGTGGTGGCGATGATAGTGGCGGTGATATAGGACGGCGGGAAACAGCGGGACGACGACGGGTGGTGAGGAAAGGCTGAGAGGGACGTCCGTCCGGATCGCGGCACTATAAGCGTGCCGCGCCTTCCGAGGAGGAGGAGGCGGCCGGTTTACCTTGAGGGCGACGATTTCCGCGTAGCCGAGCGTCCCGCCGCGGAGCGTCGTCACCGACCTCTTTAACCCCAATCCCTGTGCATTGACCCGTAGGCGAAAAGAGGATTTATTTATTTACTCTCGTGCGTCGTCTCCGTGGCTGGCTGGCTGGCGGTCGATGATGCGTCGACGGGCAGCGAGCTAGAGTTCCTCAAGTCAGAGCTAGGGAAATCGTCCGCCATTTGTAGGGACGAGGTGGGTGAGTAAGAGAGACAGAGAGACTGCACAGCGTACTTTGTCGTTCCAGTCTTGGGTCGGTATTCATATATAATCAGGTCTTATATCTAAGATCGTCTTAAGTTCATCTTCAGATGCTGTACGAATCAATTCATTGGAGTATCTGAAGGTGGACTTAAGTCTTAAATATAAGATTTGACTATACGAATACCGACCTTAGAGTTTCTCTCTTTCACATCAATTCATGCAGGAATCCCGAAAAATGGCGGATAGAGTGCAGACCGATCGGGAAGCATCACGCTTCGTCTTAACTCTGACTAGAGGAGCTCTACAGCGCGCGCGCGCGCGCGCAACGGATTGCGCGAAATTCGCTTTTCCAACGGACAGACGTGTGCGGCGGAGTCGGAAGCGCGCGCGTCTGTTCATTCTTTCTTTTTCCCTCGTGCTCGTCGCTCACGGCTCGGCCCCGGCAATTTTGCCGCTTTACGTCCGCCGCCGTCTGCGTTTTGACGGATGGCACGGTCGCTCGTTTTTCGCCCGTCTCGTGCGCGACGATCGCGGAACGTCGTGGATGAAACCCACGACGGCGACTGTCGCACGCGCGCGCGCAACAGCTGGCGCAATTCTCCCCTGAGCGATCGCACCTCGCCGTCGCTCGAGCCGTCAACAATCCGACTTGAAACTTATCCCGGGCTCCTGGTCGATTCCGATCATTTATCTAGTTTATGCGCAAAACAATGCTGATTGATGATAATCGGGATCTTGTTAATAATAATTAAGAGTAGACGCATATCATTTTGTGCAAAGCGGATGGCTGATTGGAATCAATCTGATCGGGAGATAAATTTCCAGTCGGAAATTGTGAACTGCGGGCGGCTGCAGGTCAAATGTTTTTCTTCTCTTTTTTTCTGCAGCCAGCGCGTGAAATATTATTTATTTTTGACCTCACTCTTTATTCTATTTTTCTACTGTTTATTTTCAGCTCCCATTTCCGATATATTTTCGAATAAATATTTCCTGTTTCACGGCAATAAAAATGAAGCCTCAACGCGTGAAACCTTGACACATTGAATTTTGATTAATTTCACTTCTGCGTAGCAGGAAATCGGTTATTAATAAACGACGCTTCGCCAATTCGTAATCTTGAGCAAAATTCCGGTATTTTGTTTTGTTACTCAGTATGTCAGAGAAATTTTCTCTCAAATACTATTTGATTGGTTTTAGTCGGATAGCGTAAACGAGCGATATTTAAGGATATATTGCCCGCACACACAAGTATTGTCGACATAAATAATATACAGAGGCTAGACACAAAATAATGTGAACACTAGTATTATATGAATATTTTTTGCGTGTTGGCTAAACTGGCGAAACAATAGTTGCGATTATCTTTTGCTCCTCTTATTATTGCCTGTGCTGTTTCCACTTTATATGCCAGTGCACTACACGTTATGTTCAGCAGCGGTTAGTACGAGCAGTTGGTGAAATGAGTGACTTGTCAGACTTCCAAAGAGGACAAATTGTCGGTGCTTATGTAGCAGGAGCGTTTATAACCATAACAATTGAATTGTTTGATGTTTCAAGAGCGACTCTCTATGACAGCTCTCTATGACGGTTATGACTGCATAGGCAAAGCATATGCAAGACTTTATATCGACGAACAGTGGCCGAAAAGCAAGACTGACTGATAAGAATCGTCGAACACTAATAAGAATCGTGCCTAAGTGACACAGAACTATTGCAGCAAAAGTGACAGTAGAACTCAACATTCATTCCCTGAAGACCCCGTTTCTACAAGAACATTCCCTTAAGAACTTCACCAAGCCAACTTAATAAAGCGACATATTTCTCAGGTGCTCACATTATTTTGTCCACCCCCTGCAGATGACTCCCTTCCATCGCCAGTGGATTCCGCCGCACACGAATTCCGACATATGCTCGTCGGCGCGCAACAAGCGCGCGCGCGCGCACACAGAAAACAAGAATTGACTGCAACAGCAAAAATCTACGTGTGTGTATGTGATAGCTAAATCTCGTTGTAACACATGGACACCTGAAAGTATAGCTGTCAGTAGGTATACAGGATGTTTGAGACAAGACATGCAAAACCATGTGTAAAGATAGAGCACGCCAACCTGAGCGCGAGGATTTCTGGCGTTTTGCAAATAATCATGTGTGTGTGACATTTTGAGATGTTAACACAAGAAGATTGACAAACGCGCGACTTTGTTTCAGTTTGTGAAACAGAGACAAATTATGCAAGAAACCTAATACATCTTCAGCGAGCCATGATCAGCTACGGCAGAGAAATGTTCGTTTTTTTTCTTTCCGTGCGCATCGCGGTTGGTGCGCCGAGCACGCTTGTTGCGCCGGATCGAGGAAGCAGCTTCGGTTTTGTTCTGGACAGCGAGCGTATATGCATATGCATGTGCACAGGCGGACGCGCAGCGTCGACCGGTGCACGCGTCGGCGCCCCTGAATGGAGCCGGATATCGCTCGACTTTGAGAACGAAGCTGCTGGCTGCCAGTTCTCGACCTCGAGGACGACGACGAGGTGGCGGCGCGTCCCACCCCGTGCTTCGTCGTCCGAGTTCGGGAAAGAAATCGCACGCAGATCGACGACACAAGTGCGCTCGAGCGGGATGAAAAGCACCAGCCGGTTCTCGACCTCGATTTAACGCGACGTTAAATAAAACCGGATCCCGGGCGCCGCCGCCGTCGTCGCCTCCGCGTGGAGGACGACCACGTCGTCGCGCGCGAGAATTGGCAATTTTCATTTTCGCCCGTGCATTTTCGCTGCGAGTCGAAATTTAATTATCACGAATAAACGCGGACGCGAATTCTCAGAGTGAGCCAACGGAGGGCGCATGTCGGCCGTCCGACAATTCTCTTCGATTACGCTTCTCACCTCCAAGAATGTCTGCGAAGGACTTCGTTCACAGCTTCGATCGCGCGCGCCGACAACTACGACGACGGCCGACATTAATTTCTTCGGGCCCTGATATCTGGAAATTCTTTGAGGCCGGAGTCTCCCGAAATCCGTGCAATTTATTCGATTAATCGCACGTCCTTTGACGCTTGACGGCGGCGCGATCGAGAAGGCGTTAATGGCGTTCCCGTTCGAGTGCACTTTTACCACGTAAATGGGATTTGCAGCTTTACGCGCGCGATGAAAATATCGCCCCGCTCCTTTCCCCCCTCTCAGCCCCTCGCTCTTTCGCGCCGTCCTTCAGAATTTATCCTATATTCTTCTCGCCTCTCCGCGCGTCGTCCGCGCGCGTACAACACACGCGGGACTTTACGAGATTGCGCTTTCTTTCTTTCCTCTCTTTCTCTCTCTCTTTCTCTTTCTTCCTCTCCGAAGGGCGGCGAGAAGGTGCGGGCGAGAAATGAGAGAGCGGCACGCATTTTCGCGTTACGAGTGCGCCAGCGACGGCGGATATTGCTTGGCTCCTGCCAGATAGCGTAGCTAGATACCTTTACTGCGGAAAAGACGTCGAAGCCGGGGCTGCCCAGTTCGCCCTTCTGTCCTTTGTCCCCGGGTCGGCCCTGCGAACAGACAGAGTGCACACTGTGTATTACATACGACGGTAACATGTTTTTTTTTGCTTTCCTTTTCTCGATAAACGCGCGATAACAATAAACGTCGTGTCGCGCGACACATCACACGATTGGTGAAATTCGGTTTTCCAATCCGGAGATTGTCGATTGAATTAGGATTCTCTTTGAACGGAGAAAATCCTCTCGCCGACTTTCGGGACGCATTTTCTCGCGCTACTTTTTGGAATTTCACTATCTCGCCTCGGTCAGTTTAATGCTGAAACGTCGCGCCGAGATTCCCCAACGTTGGAATTACTTCTGTGCGTTGAATCACGGTCGCTTATCATTTCCAGCTTTAATCAAGGATTCTGCTGCAATCATTTCGTTTCAGAGATACGCGTCGGCACGGAGCTGAGAATGCCCGCTATATGAAGGTTCTGCATATTCTGCCCGCGAAATGGACGGTACTTTCGTTCATGTAATTTTCGTTTCTAAAATCCGCCGAGAAGTTTAGTGCGTTAGTGCTTTTGCTACCGCCTCGTTATCAATTGCTCTCCCCAGTCAGGTAAACGTACCAATGACTGGATGCACATTTAACCTTGCTCTCTCAAAGTGAATCAGTGAATAATCACTGATATCAGTTATGAGTATAGCACTGAGCAGTTTCAGTACTATACTTAACTACTTTACTACTTTAAATACTTTATAACTGCAATCAGTATATTCACTGTTTTTTTTCAGATGTTTGACTGATTCATTTTAAGAGAGTGGAGATCCTCATTATGGATCGAATTTCAATTAGTTTTCCGGAAATGTTAGGAGTAAATGAGAACGTGCTAGATTTTTAGAATTTACGTAACTTTTTGCTGTTTAGAGTTCTAGGGTTAATATATACTCATAAGATCAACACTCTGAAGCACTAATGTTAGACAGACAGAGGTCTCTTAAAGTGAATCAGTGAACAGTCACTGATATCAGTAATAAGTATAGCACTGAGCACTTTCAATGCAACACTTATAACTGCAAATCACTGTATATTCACTGTTTTCAATGATGTTTCACTGATTCATTTTAAGAGAGAGAGAAGCGCGGGCAAAACAATGAATACTCGTCGATGCGACAATAAACTCAAATAAAATCGTACATTCTTTCGTGGCATTTTACAAAGCATACCTTTATCATTGCAAAAATCCGTTATTGTTTCATTATAGGTATCGTAAATAGCGCTGTGGAATATCAGATTTAATCGCTTCACAGTTGCGGAATCGCGTGTTCGATCGTAGCGTGAGTCGTGAAACGCCGAATCATTCCAATCCTATCGTACAAACAGCGTTTTAATCGTATTCATTTGTGCTCGTGGCATCAATGCACGAGTGCTATTATGGCGTCGTGCAGAATTACTCTCCGCACTGGAGCGCTCGCCGGATGAAAAGAACGCCCGTGTAAAACTGCACTTGGTGAAATTACGGACACATGGAGAGTGTTCACTTTTTCTTTCTTCTTTTCCATTAAGCGATGCAACGAAGGCTAAGATCGCGATTTAATGTCGAGACGCCCCAACAGGTACGCTCGCAGGAATTTCGAAGAAGATAAACTGCGGTCTCTCTCTTTCTCTCTGTTTCTCCGTCCCTCTCGCTCTCACGCCTGTGTGTGTGTATGTGTGGCACATGAAGTCTTGTTCGCGGACGCGTCGAGCAAACTCGCGATATCCCCAGGCAAATTGTGGCTCCTGTAAGCCGCGCGGCTATTTACACGAAATCCGATATAAACGGCGAGATTCGTTATTCGAATCTCGGAATAGTGCCCGGCGCGGGGTATTGGTCGCCGACTGTGTACACACTCGTTTGCCACACTCGTTTAAAGAAACGCCGGGCAAAGAGAGGAACACGAAAGGAGTCGATCGGGGCCCTTTCTTCCCGACCATCGGCAGAACAAATACGTCGCGATATTTGCAATGCACTTATTGCTTTCCGTCTCTGTCTCTTTCTGCGTTTCTCTCCTAGCCTCTCACACCCAATCTCCTCGTCTATCTCTCTCTTTCCCCCCTTCTCTCTCTCTCGGACACATTCTTCCGCTCTTATGTTTGCTCTGTCGTTTGTACCTTACCGCCACCGACCAACCGCGTCACTGTCCTACCACGTAGCACATTTTCGTGTGTATTCTGCCCGGTCCGCCAGGTATCCGAGCACACGACGATATACAGGATGTCTCGCCAGCCCGTTCGTCAGCAGATTCGTTCGTTATCGAAATTGATTATTTAACCTTTCAAGGCTCAGTGCTAGAGATGAAAGAGACCTAGTCTGTGACGGTAACTTGTTGGGTAAATTACGGCAAATTATTTGGTAATTTTTCAAAGTTGGTAAAATGGTAATTAGGGCAGAATTATAGACATTACGAAATTTTAGTATGAAGCTCAAAAGGAGCATTTAACCTTTTAAGATGAGAACAAGAAATTTTATTTAACTCTTATTTTCTGTAAAATTACCATTTTTTACCACAAAGTATTCACGAGCCTCAGATCACCGTACAATCATGTGTGACGTTAATATTAACCGAGCACTCGACAGAGAAGATTAAATAAAATGCACAAATGATAGAGATAAATAAACACGCTGAAAGTGCTGGCCGGCCTTCCACATGATATCTGAAGAATATTCACGCTTGTCCAAATAATTGTAATTAATCGGAAAACAACACTGTGCGTCCCTCGGTCGATCGTATCTCGAGAAACCGTTAATGCGCCTTGATTTACCACACAACGCCCCGCCAAAGCGAATTACGAGAGAGAGGGAGAGAGAGAGAGAGAGAAAGAGCGAGATAGCGGTAATTTCGCGACGTCGTGTACGGCGAACGTATATATACAGCGACACATCGCCGTGTACGCGGATAGACAGAGGCTGTTCCACCGTAAAGGCAAACCAGCCGGCCACAAAGGGGCCATGCGTACGGCAACGGCCCTGTCATGCGAAAAGACTTCGCGTGTTGCGAGGTCCTCGCATAACCGAGAGCGAAGGAGGAACAGAGTTATGCGTATGCAAGGGCTTCTCGCGTAACCACGAGCATCGCACGCGCGTGCAAGGATCACGCGTCTGACAAGACGGATCGTGAGCAAACAGACCGGTAGAATTAATGTCGTATGTAAATGTAACACGAAAAATAAGCTATAACGCGTTCATCTTTTTACACGTTCACGTTCTACAAATAAATAATAAATGTCCCATCGACATTCCTTATTTCAACTACTCTTTGTGTATTCTTTATGTTACCTTTACAAATCGAGTTTAACATCAAAATAACAAACATAAATGTGAGAAGAAATCGATGAGTGTCAATTAATTAACATTCGCAATTCGTCGATAAATGACACCATAAATGAGTTATTTTCACACGAAAGGAGGGTATGATTTTTAGGGGATTTGGGGACCGCTAGATGAATGCAAATTTTCTATTTTTTCCTTCGTATTTTTTCTCGTAGAATTAAAAAATCGACCTTAAAATTACGCCAAGTAAAGGGAAAAATAGTTATAGACAGTTAAACGTTGATTTTCCCTGAAAATCATGCATTTTCCAACACTGCCATCTGAAACATCTTTGACCTTTTTAGAGGTGCTAAATCTCACGTTACATAGGAGACTTATTAGACTTATAAGTGACGGTCGAGCCTCCAAGCTTGAAGCCGCAACTGGCCGCGACCGTCATTTTCGTGGTCCGCTCGCGACAAAGAGAAGATAGAAGGCGTAGCTCCCGAGAATCGATCGAAATGGGTAACTAATTCCGAGCTCTGCCTTAAGCGGAGCGATTTGAGCGGCGAAAGCTACTATATGCTCGAGAAGAAGCTCCTTATATACTTTCGTTTATTAATATATGCCCTGAAAAAGCTGGACTACAAAATCACTTTTGTACTATTTTGAACGTTAATATTTTTTTAATTGACTGCTGTTTTTTCTCTACTGCTTAGAGTATATTCTCATACCATTATCAAGTTTTGAGAAAATAAGTCTCTTATGTAATGTGAGATTTAGCACCTCTAAAAAGGCCAAAGGTATTTAAGATGGCAGCGTTGGAAAATGCATGATTTTCAGAGAAAATCAATGTTTAAATGTCTATAACTATTTTTCCCTTTACTTGGCGTAATTTTCGATCGTAAAAGTCGATTTTTGAATTCTACGGGAAAAAATACGAAGAAAAAAATAGAAAATTTGCGTTCACCTAGTGGTCCTCAAATCGCCTAAAAGTCATACCCTCCTTTCGAGCGGATTTTCTGAGAAAAATGTTAGAATTAACGTTTTGCTTTTCACCGTGTGGCAGTAGAATGACACCTTTCTGTGTGGTGCGATTTTGACGGCACTCGGGTTTCCGCCACGAGCATGCAAATAATGCGCGCGCTCCCGCGCGCTGGGATTTGTCGTTCGCGGGAGGACCTTGCGACGACGTCTCGCTTGCACACACGCGTGTTAATGCGATAATAAGACACGCGACGGGGCGAACGAGGAATGCGGAATAGCCAATCTGTGCCCGCGTCGCTCCGATATTCGCCCGCAATCCGTATGTGTGTGTGTATGTGACCGCGTCCGCCTTCGCGGACGTCTCCGGCGCGCATTACCTATGTATGACTATTATGCATTTATGAATGATAAGCCGAGATGACGACGAGAGAACGACGTCGCTACGTGTGGTGACTTCGCGTGTCGGTGGTCCGTCCGTCCATACGTGTCCTCTTCTGTCGTCGTCGACCCGTCTCGCGATTTACGACGAGCGCGTCGCAGTTTTACGTGAAAGGAAAATGATAGCTTGGAAGTCGGACCGGAGGTGATGAATAGGTTCGAACCATGGACACACATATATATATATATAGTATACATGGACTCCGAATGCCCTATGTTCTGTCGTTTAATAGAGTGAAGCCAACATCTAGAAAGAAAGCGAGAGGGGCTATAGTTTTCTTCCTATTTTGTCACTTTTTTGTCGCGCGTGCATCCATTTCTCGTTTCCACACGGAAAAAACAATTCCGTTGGTGCAACCGAATTTTCACTTGCTCAGGGATCAGACGAAAACTCGGCTGTAGGAACAGAAAAATTCCTTTATGAGGACCGAAATAATAGAAAGCTCCTCGAATAGATTAAACTAACGGTAAGATTTGAAACGGCACATAAGGAGCAAGCACGGATGTCTTAGTGCTATTAAATACTAATATTACTTTTTAATATTAATATGATTGTGAGAAAATAAAATTGTCCAGTATGTTAAACGCACGTATCGAAATTTTTTTCTTCGATTATCGTACGCGGAGAATCAACCTTCCATACTTAGACCGATCTTTGAATCCCGATTTTTATATATATATTTTTTATTAAAATCCCTCGTTTTTTATTAAAAGCTCCTCGAATAGATTAAACTAACAGTAAGATCTGAAACGGCACATAAGGAGCAAGCACGGATGTCTTAGTGCTATTAAATACTAATATTACTTTTTAATATTAATATGATTGTGAGAAAATAAAATTGTCCAGTATGTTAAACGCACGTATCGAAATTTTTTTCTTCGATTATCGTACGCGGAGAATCAACCTTCCATACTTAGACCGATCTTTGAATCCCGATTTTTATATATATATTTTTTATTAAAATCCCTCGTTTTTTATTAAAAGCTCCTCGAATAGATTAAACTAACAGTAAGATCTGAAACGGCACATAAGGAGCAAGCACGGATGTCTTAGTGCTATTAAATACTAATATTACTTTTTAATATTAATATGATTGTGGGAGGATAAAATTGTCCAGTATGTTAAACGCACGTATCGAAATTTTTTTCTTCGATTATCGTACGCGGAGAATCAATCTTCCATACTTAGACCGATCCTTGAGTCCCATTTTTTATATATATATTTTTTATTAAAATCCCAAACCCCCATTTAACCGACTCAAATAGATTCATTATATATGTTGCGAAAAAACTGCCTCCGCCAGGACTCGAACCTGGAACCTCCCGCCCGGAAAGTGGGGAGGTTCCAGGTTCGAGTCCCGGCGGAGGCAGTTTTTTCGCAACATATATAATGAATCTATTTGAGTCATCGGTTTAATGGGGTTTGGGATTTTAATAAAAAAAATATATATATAAAAATTGGGACTCAAGGATCGGTCTAAGTATGGAAGGTTGATTCTCCGCGTACGATAATCGAAGAAAAAATTTCAATACATGCGTTTAACATACTGGACAATTTTATCCTCCCACAATCATAATATTAAAAAGTAATATTAGTATTTAATAGCACTAAGGCATCCGTGCTTGCTCCTTATGTGTCGTTTCAAATCTTACTGTTCCTTTATGAGGCTTCTGTATAGTCAATTATTCTCAGTTGCGTCAACCGAGTTCTAATATCGTTGAATATTCAGACGAATATTTCCGGTTGTGATAACAGAAATACTAATTTTCATAACAGAGATATCGCTTCTGATCACCTAATTTTCAGTTAGTTCCTATTTGGTTGCACCAACTGAGATGTTTTTTGCGTGCATATAATATTATAGAGCGCAACAGCACCCCGATTGGCAAATAAACGCCTTACTTTAATCTTATTGCATATTTTGTCTATGCAGAAAGAGACAGAGAACAGAAGGGCTGTACATATTGGCTTCTCTTTTCTGACTGTATGCGCACGCAAAAAAATTTCAGTTGGTGCAACCAAATAGGAACCAACTGAAAATTAGGTGATCAGAAGCGATATCTCTGTTATGAAAACTAATATTTCTGTTCTCGCAACCGAAAATATTCGTCTGAACATTCAACGATATTAGAGCTGGGTTGAGACAACTGAGAACAATTGACTATATAGAAGCCTCATAAAGGAATTTTTCTGTTCCTATAGCGGAATTTTCGTCTGATCCCTGAGCAACCGAAAGTTCGGTTGCATCAACAGAATTATTTTTTCCGTGCGGAGTCTATGTATATTATGTCTATGGTTCGAACGACTATCCGGGCCGAGAGATCGCGAATCCCGCGGAAAATTGTGTGGCGATCGTACTTCGCGCGAACAGCGACGGTTAAATAGAGTTAAATGAGTGTGCGAGTGAGCGAACAAATCTTCAGTTTAATGTCCGATTCATCTTCCGATTCGAGCGCGGCACCGCGCAGCTCAAAAATATAAGTCACCTTGATAAATCGCGCCTGACCGTGCCGGCGTGAGTCGCGTGAATTAAGGTCATAAATTAAAAAGCACGGTAAAATTCTGCGCCGATTTTGCGACGAGCTTCACTCCGCGAAAGTTTACCTTCCATTTGCGCACGCTAATTAACTTCACACGGCTATAGCGCTCACGTATAGCGGCGATACACGATTTGAGCGCGGCATAAGCGATACACCGCCGTTGTTGTTTTTGCGGATATGTCGTCCCTTTGCAACAATAATCTTCTCATCCGCGTGAGTATGTTCACAGGCGTGAGATTGACTTTGAGTGATTTTCCGCTGTGTTTCTTTCACCTCAAAACACTTGGCCACGATCTAGGAGGATCGATGTCCATCCAGATAGATTCTCACGATCAGAGGAGATCGTAAGCAAACGCTTTGTATGTGTCGCGAGAGGAACGGTAAACGCGGAACCGCGAAACGTTTCTTTGAAGCTTAATCTACGATGTGTTCGTTGCGTTCTTTACGGGTCTTTCTCCTTATCTCTTTCTGACTCAAGCCTTAAGCCGGAAAAAGACCGAAGAAGAAACAGGAAGCGAAGAGCACGATTAGGCTTTAACGTACGTAGATACGCGAAGAGAATTTTATGGTGAAAACTATAAGGAATGGAGGGAGGATAACTCTTGGCTGTTTGCGTGATCAAAGCGAAAAGTGACTTTGCCCCGATTAGCCGTATTTTTGCAAGTATTCGCGCAACGCCGGCAAAAGCGTCGATCCCCCGTAGCGTTTCATTTGATTTTAAACTTCGATACGTTTTCACGTCGCTCGCATTTGCGAGCCGCGCACGTCAAAATCCGCGTCTGCTAGTGGAACGACCGTGGCACGACGCCGGGTGTATCGCCCGTATGATTGATCATTCTCGCATTTTTTGCGGCTTATTCGTTCAACATGTGTCAGCTGTTGTGAACAAAAGGGGTGGGAAAAAGAGTTTCGACCCGGCGCGTTGATGAGACGAGTTCGCGGTCGTTTGATGTTTCAAACGTGTTCCTCGCAGGTAGAGATGTGCGATACTGCGACATATTGCATTCATCGCGATACACAATTTCATAAATCGCAATCCCTGCTCGCAAGTCGCCGCGTAATCACAGATCGCGGTGACAAAGAGAATCGTATCTTGAAGTACCAATTAGATATGTTATTTTGATTTCTACGGAAATACGACGCGGAGTAGACCGGAAGTTTCGCTCCTTCGCTGCATTTGACGGAAAACTCGATATCAAAATTTTCTCCCTCTCTCTTCCATTTTCCTGCTCCTCTCTTCGCCTCTTTCTCTCTCTCTCATTTCATTAACTTTACATCTGTCATTCTGAACGGTTTCGCGATGTCCTGGGTCGACATCTTTCCCGAAGTGAGTCACTCGTGACGATATTTTAGAAAAGTTTGCGCCACTTATTTAATTAAATCAGTCGAACAGATGCGCTATTTAAATAAAATTGCCGACCTGCCGCATCTGAGAATAATGCAATAGACAGATGCTCCCGAAATGTCTTGCGCGACCTCTTTTCACATCCGCCGGCGAAAACTGGGACGGAAAATCTAGATAACATACCTAATTTCGTAGCGTGCCAATTAAAATATGCACGAACGTACGACCGATATCGGCCCGCTCGTCACGACGGGAGACACGGATACTTAAAAGACACTTCTCATTTACCGCCACACTGGTCGCTCTACAATTTCCAGCCCTTTTGTTACCATTTTTTCAGCGACACATTTCCGCTGCGTTCAGCCTCGATGAGAATGCAAAGCGAATTATGAAGTTTATTACGACTGACGCGAGCGTAAATCTTGGTAAAACGGGTTCCTCTCGCCGTGCGCCGTGTGATTAAAAATTCCTCATCTCTCACGCCCATACCCATTATTCTGTTAAATAACGCTGCTCAAAATTATTGACCGTCACGAGCGCATGGAAAGTATCCTCTTAATTAATATCGCGCGCCTCGTAGCGCCGCGACGAATTAAGATGTAAATTATGCCGAACTTACCGGATCACCCTTGGGTCCGTCCAAGCCGATGGGTCCCTGAAAGAACACGCCAGTCAGTGTTACTCGTCGCTCACGCGTCGCAACGACGAACGGAGAAAGGTGAAAAATTGTGCGGGCTGAGCGCGCCCTTGAAGATTTTCATTCCTTGTGTATGTAACATGTAAACGGGCGAGCGCGAACAGCAGACCAGAGTTGCGATGAGTCTTTATGCTTCCAGACAAATGTGCATTCTCGCATGATTGATCCCCGGCGTACATACGCTCGATGCAGCGACCGAGAATCGCGACGAAGCGCGCCGGCAACTTTTATCTGGTGCACACGTGAATTTCCAATCTCGCGCAGCCTCGAGATCCTGACGGAGCAGCTCTCGCATCTCACACGTGTGAGAGGAAGACAATATTTAAGAAATTAAAGATATTTACTCGGCGGGTGCTAAACTATATACGTCCGGTAGCTGACGATCGAGTCGTTAGTTTCACTTTACGTCTTGTACCAGTCAGAATGCATATTTAAATTATTATCTTCGTTAAATCGACTTGATTAATTACATTTTCCATAGGAGTATAGAATGCGGAAGAATGAATGCAACTTTGAAGAAATAATTCTCAATTCTGAAAATTTCATTCTACGTAATATTGCTTTTGTAAATTTATCGATCCCGCTTTACACGCATTGCATAGTTCATTTCTTAACGATCCAAGAGCTTACCGAAACAAAATTGTTTTCCATATTGCTCGCGAAATATTACCCTTGGCGATTAGGTTTCGCTCGCGACATTCAGTAACCTCGCAGTTGCATCGAAACGATAACTCGATATTTCAAGAGAATCAGAAACGCTGATAGGCGGCTCGAGGTTGCTGGCAATTAACGCGAGGAGGATACTCGCGACAAGCGGAAAATGCAATTAATCCGTTTCCTCGACGCCACGTGTACATAGCTGCGCCGTCAGTCGTCGAAAGCGCGGCGGCCTGTACGCAAAGCGAATGTCCGATTTCGCGCTTCGATCTCGCACGCACGAATCGCGCTGATATATACAGTACGAGAGAAAAGAACCTCTAAGTGCTGGACACACCGCTACATATCGAGCCGGAAGAGGATCCAGGTCGAGAGATACAACGCGTGGAAAGAAGCGGGTCAACGAAAAAAAAAAAAAAAAAAAAAAAAA